GTTCTCTGCTTTGCTGCCCACTTGTTGCTGGTTCTCCTCACGATTTAAAGCCCACGTGTATGCTGAGTTTTTTCTGATTTCACCAGGCAACAGAAACATTCATTTCAAATGAGCCTGGCAAATGTACAGAAAGACTGTTGACCTCTGTGAATCTGAGCAGGGGCAGAACACATGTGATCACGATAATCATGATGGGGATGGTTGATTCATTCAGCTGTGTTTTAATTTAACAGCAAATCTGAAAATGAGAGGCATCAGGCAGACCTGCTTATTTTGATCCGTGTGATGCCTGTTGGTTTTGTGCTTTTTTTGTTCTTTCTTCTGGTTATCATTCTATTTTGAGGAGCAGAGAAATCACGAGCCAGTTCTCAAAGTAAAGCAAAGCATTAGTGCTGTGCATGTCCTAAATTCCTCACCTGACAACCTTCTGTATTGCTTAGAAAACTGGCAACAGGGTCTCTGGTCATTTGATTAATGGGTTTTCGAGCATCACACCAGGGTGACTTAAGAATGGAAACCATTTTTCTTACAGAGGAACTTGCCTTTCAATGGCTGTGAAATATATCAGAGAAACCAAGAAGTAATGGTGTGTACAATTGTAATACTGTGGTTGGCATACTGAGCTCTGTTTGAGTTTCCCATGAAACAAAGGTTTATTTAATATAGTAATTGAACTTACCCATCTGTTACTGGAGAATGCACGATAAGATCTCTTTTCTTCCTTGACTTCCAAAAGTTAGGAAAAAGAAGGTTTTGCTTTATTGCCCGGGTCAGACAAGGTCATTGATGCTGATGAGTAGAGCAGATGAAAAATAAAAGGTTGTTCAGTGAGTTTTTTTTTCCTAGAAATCAATGGGCCTTTTTTCTATGTTTTTTGCTTATTGTGTTGCAGTTAATATGCAAGGCTTGAAGATGAACTTGGAAAATTTGTCACTGGGGGAAAAAATAAATATAGATGCACAAACATGTAAAGAAAAAGGAAAATGACTTTAATTGGGCTCACATCTCTTTTCCTGGAAATGAAAAGTGATCTTGAACAAACATTCATTTGCATGCGAGGGAATTTATCCAGTATATCGCCAAAGGAGAAGGAAGGCCTGTTATGATAATCTTTCCGAGATTTTTGTAGTCCTAGCCCTTTCCTGTTTAAACAAAACTAAACACCAGACCGCTCTTGAGATCTCTGGAGAATGAGAAAAGAGGCGCAGTCAAACTGTCTGGACTGAAATCTGTTTAATTACTGTACGCCGAATCCCCCCCAAATCTCAAGACTGAAGAGGTGGAGGAGGGGTTTTATCAGGTGACCTACATTTGGAGTGCACTTAGCTATATGAAAAACTATGTTTTGCTGCAAAGTTATAGGCCAGTGCTTCAGTTGTGGTACAACAAGCTATGCATTCCCATTCTCTTTGAGTCATGATCGTGTTACATTATGCCTCTAGTTATTGGTCCTGTGTACCGTCATTGAGTTTGCAACGTAACACATTTTGTATCATGTGAGGAGGTGGACAGAACAGCAGAGTGGTGAATGTGAGAGGCTTTTCACAGCATCTTGTATTTAAATGGACATTAGGGATACCTTTACCGCCGAGTTGTATTTTGTTTTAGATTTGCCATCCATTGAAATTCATCTGAATAGACCAGTTCTAGCCTGATGCTTTCTAACAGAAAATAATAAGACTGTAGCACTTCAGGGTTTGCAAAAGACACTTCATAAATATATAACAAGCTGTTAACACTAAATTGTGAATAAAACATTTATTTTCTGGGAGCAATGAGTTTTGTTATTAAACATAATTAATCACAAGTAGCCATCGGTCACTACTAGATAAGTTATTATTGCACTCTTAAAATGTTGTTAATCTATTATAGGCTATAAAGAATTTATTAAATGGAATTTGCAACTTCTAATTGAAGTTTTTACAAATAAAACAGTAAAAATGTATTGTAAATGGAAACTGGGAGCTTTCCCAGCTTAGCTGTAAACCGGATTTTAGCGGCTTACTTTGGAATACTTGTGCAGAAACATCAAAGCCTCTTCCTTCTGGGTTCTGTATGGTCCAGTAGGTCTGGGCTGTGCCCCTGTCTCCAAGATCGCTCCATTCCCACTCCCCCAACGCCTACACAGTGTGAATGAGTTTCAGGAATGCCCCATCTGCTGAAGCGTTACGATGGAGGAAGTGCTTGTCAAATTGAGGTCACAGTGTCCCCTGAAAAGCCAAAGCTTCCGGTCCGAAGAGTGGGAGCAGTGGGAATGCTCCTTTGCATTAACAGAGCAGCAGTTTAACAGAATAAAGGTTTAGCTGGCATGATACAAAGCATTCAGAACTCGTTTTTTATATACCATATATACAGCTGCTTTGATATTTGCAAGATTGTCTTAAAGGTCATTCAGAAAGAGTTGTTGGTTTCGCTTTTCCTCTCTTCATAATATAAGCTGCCACAGATGGAATACTTTCTGAGGCATGAATGCGGATCACTGGCTATGCAGGATGCTGTGTGACTTGTTTTCTCTACTCCTTATCTGGCCGTATTAAGAGTATTGGTCTTCATGTTGAAGAGCCTTTAGCTTTTTTTTTTTCCAGGAAGTACTGAGGTTTTCTCTCTGCACTCTAACGGTGACTTGTTTCAGTCCAAATCTGTTTTCAACTTATCAATGATAAACTCTCACTGCAGAGATTCCTGAAAGGCATGTGCTGTGTGCCCAGTGATGTGATGTTGTCCTGCATTGCCGGTGAAAGTAGGACAATAATTCAGGCCAGGTGTCTTTCAGTTGGGATCTAGAAGACATGGGATTGAAGGCAGACAGAGAAGAATCCAAGGTGTTTTAGTCAGTCACAGGCCCTCCTGGTTGCTGAATCCCTTCCCAGTGGGCCTGTTGTCTTACTGCCGGTGTGCACTGAGCTTTTACACGTATATGCTGAAATAATCGAGTAAGGTGTTACATTTTTGTATCATTCATTCAGTTCCATTTCAGACTGGATGGGTTTCATTGTGGAAGTCACAGATGTTGTAGAGACTGCATTTTTATGAGTCCACAAAGTTAAGTATTGGAAGAAAACTACATACAGTGTGGCCCCCTGCAAATCATTCAGGTTAGGTTCATTTCCCAATTGGAGATTGGAAGATTTGATTGATTTGAAAAGGCATTGTTTTCAGAATTTAGGTCAAAAATCTGATTTGTCAGTCCTGAGAGGTATATAGACAAGTCTAATCCTTCTGCAATGTTATTTAAGTCACAGACTTGCACAGTACCTACACTCAGTATGGTCCATCTTTTCTTCTCCTTAGGTATTATTCTTTACAAAAAGGTGTTAAAAAATAACATTTTTTTGCATTGCATTTCAGTGCAGATCCCTACATTTATATTTTAAAATTTCCCAAGTATATTCTTCAGTCATCCTTTCCTTTCTTTTTTTCAGTGTTAAGAGAGAAAGGAACAACAAATTATGTAGATGAAATCCACTAGCCACATCATTGTTTATTTAGGCATATGGTAAATGAATAATTTAAAGTACTCAGTAAGTAGAACTGAAACCTGGTGCTACCGTCTTGTAATCTACATTCGTATGACACGCAAAATGAGATGGGTGCAGAAATGACAGTGGGGGATTTTGAGTCAAGCTGCTAGTTATCCTCTCTCTTATTTACCTGTCAGTCAGAAGTTTGTTTACTATCACAAAGTGACTGTGTTCAGACCATCAGATGTGTTTATCAACAGATCTGTTATTAGCAGATAATCTGCACTGTACCTTCTGCTTAACTATTCACAGGAAATTGACATTTCTGCCTCCTGCGAGGCAGGCATATATCAATATGTTGTTGATGCTCTCTGATTGTGAGAACCATTGAACAGATGCCAGGTTTATATGATTACAGCAGCATTCGTAAAAGTATTGCATTTCTGTGCCTCATTGAAACCTGTCTTACCATGATTTCTAAAACTTAAAGTGTACCGAACAACACACTGCATATAAGACTATGTAAGGATTCAGAATAATCTCTGTTCACTGCAGGAATATTCTTAATCTAGGGTGTGCCTAGGTACCATCAGGGCAGGACGAGACCTCTTAACAAGTCTGTGCTGATGAACTAGCTATAATTGTAATATGAAATTAAATTTAATTGCAGTTTTGCTTATCAATTTTTATTAATGGTTACTAATGGCAGTAATTAAGAAGATGTTCATCAGGATTTTAAAGAACTTGGTATCCTAGATGTCAGTAGCACAGGCTTGGATGAAGAATCCTGTCGTGTGCAGTCAAGGACAGAGATGACACCATTTAAAGAAACTGTCAAATTGAAAAAGAACAAACAAAAGAGGGGTTTTTCCATATTTTTGAGTGGACGGATGGATAAATACAGAAATGCAGAAGCCAGAGTGGGACTTTTATTTTCACTGCAGTTCTTTCAGCTCTTACGTGTACATGTAACATATTGCTGTCATTTAATGTTGTTCTCTTGTTCAATGGTAATATACATTTCTTCTGTAGTGAAAGACGTAGGCATTTCTGCTAACTGTCCTGGGCCTTTTCTGATCTTACGGGAGCCCTTAATTATGTCTGCTCTTGCACAAATCAGCATTAGAGCATTAAATCATGATTATCAGGGCTCCTAAAAGCCGTCTTATGTTGTTATTATTTGGCTCACCGCTGTTTATGGTTAGATGGTGCCTGTTTTTATTTATTGGCAGGATTTTATTTTGTGCAGCCCGGCCAGGGCGCCTTCCACATGAAAAAGCGAATTTAAGGCTGTGATCAAGTTGAAGCTGAATAATTCTGCAGCTCAGGACGTTCTCTGTCACGTGTCAGAAAGTCTTCTGTTTGGTTTTCGACTAGGACGGCGTGTTTTGGGAACACAGTCGTGGGAGAAACAATGGATTTTAGAGAAGAAGGTGTTTTTTCAGACGAAAGAATGGTCCAGGAGTCCGGGCTCCTCAGTTCGGTCTCTGGTGCTGCGGGGGGCTGCTGCTCATCGACACCTTGTTCTGTCTCTTCCAGTCGGTGCTGCTGCTGGGGAGCCTGGCGCTGGCCTGCCTGGCGCTGGACCTGCTCTTCCTGCTCTTCTATTCCTTCTGGCTGTGCTGCCGCCGCCGGAAGAGCGACGAGCAGGCCAACAACGCCGACTGCTGCTGCACGGCCTGGTGCGTCATCATCGCCACCCTCGTCTGCAGGTGAGCCTTCCTCCCCTCCGGGTTTGGTTTTGGTCTTGTCACCGCTCTGCCCGGTTGACGGTCACGGGGGAAGCTGGAGCCTATCCCAGCAAGCAGTGGGTGCTAGGCAGGACACACCCAGGACAGGAAAGATGCCAGGCCCTTGCAGAGCAGGTGCAGAGACACACACGTACACCAATCCAGTTGTCCCAGAAAACAGTTAACCTACTAGTATGGCTTTGGACTGTGGGAGGAAACTGGCGCACCTGGAGGAAACCCACGCAAGAAGTGGGTTAGAACATATAAACTCCACACAGACAGCACCCCCAGGTCCAGAACTGAACCCAGGGCCCCAGCTGCGAGATGGCCTTGATGACCACTGTGCCCATGTGCCACCCTGTATCCAAAAATGTCATTTTTATTTCATCTGACCATAAGGCAGTATGTGGTTCCAGCTGTCATTCAGACATACAGTGGGCTGGCAACTTCAAGTCTCCTCTTTTTGCGGTTCACCTTCAGAAAAATTGTGTTTTTCCTTGCAGCCTGGCCGTGCACAGCAGAAGGTTCCAAATCTAGCTTAGTTGGGTAGCTGGGTAGGTTGGCTGGATAGCCAATTTCACACGCCCACAATTCTTTCCGTAAAGAAATACGGCCTTGTCTGGGTTGCAATTTCACTTCCACATGATGTCTGCTGGTGTCTTCTGGTTCGTGTTCTACTCTTCATTCTGAAGACGTCCACTGGATTGACTTTGTGCCTTTAGGTATTTTGAATGCTTGTCCCCTGCTCCCTGCCTCTCATAGTCTTCTCTGCTTAAGACGAACAAGTCTTGCCTCAATCTGGGACTTTCCCTTTAGCCCTGGAATGCTTTTCTCCAGACTGATTTTACAGCAGAAATATGTTTTTTTATAAAATGGTGGCTAAACTTGTACACAATATATTAAATTATGTATTACTAGTGATTTGCACAATTTTAATATCGCATCCCGTGATTTAATTTCTGCATTTATAGGTGTATATACTAACATTTTGTTTGTATTTTTTATTGCTTTCCTGCATTGTCTAGAAAATGGGAACTTGAACACCCAAGTCAAAAACTTTCATACATAGCTTCTTCAGGCTCTGTTTTTCCCGTTTTGTTTTGACTACATTAAATGCCATCTCCGGGTGTTTTGCCAGTCTTAAATTTTATCTGAATCGTTTTGAATTTCGATTGCTGCTTCTGTAGTGTTTGGTGGAGTTTGTAATCTCTGTTTCATTGTCTGCCACCGTGACTATTTCAGTTCAGCAGAATCTAGATCATTGATATAAATTCAGTAGAGCAGTGGTCCTAGTACAGATTCCTGTGGTACACCACCAAATACCACATCCATGTGGGTGATGTTGAATGGTAGTTTGTATCCTGAAGATGCTAGTTTGTGGGGTTGGAAATCTCTAACAGTTAACAGTTTTACTGTCTTTACAGTTGCCTCCCAGACTACTTGTCTCAGAGCCTGTGGTGGCAAGATATGCTTGCCTCCCCTTGCTGACAGGATAAACCAGTAGCTTTAAATTTCTCAACAATGGGCTGTATAGCGGAAAGAGAGAGATTCAGCTTGTTGCAAACGGTTTTAAAGCCATCCCCCAGCTCATGGAGGTTGATGGCCATTTGCCTGTAGTCTTCAAAGAGCTCTTGGACCTAACATAAAATGGATTAGGCAAAAGTAAAAACAAATTTGATTACTACACCTTTTGTGGACTGAACAAGAATAGCTGCATTGTTATAGTCCTAAAAATGTACAGGTTGCTATAAGGCACATAAGCATGCTGTGCTGGTGGGACTTCTGCTGCTAGGGAATTATGTAATGTTTTCCTTCTTGTAAAATCAAGGATGCCTTTTGATTTCATTCTTTTCCTCCTGTGCTATGGATTACAACTGGAGCATGTAGCAGCTAATTATAGGAGGTTCAGTGCTTCAGACAGCGTCTGCTGAACCTGATGTGTCAGTCAATCAACTGGATGTCCCACTGCAAACGAAGGTTGGTCCCATCATGCACGGATGACCTGCTTTTAATGTCTCAATTTGTGTCAAGCAGTAGGTGGAGCACTAGAACATATTGAATACTGCCTCAAATAGCTACAGCTTTATTTCGGATATATCTTATCATTTTGAATTCTTCCCTGAGGAATATTTAACTGCAGTTATCAATCCTTTCAGCAGGCAGTTCTTCTGCCACCAATAGACCAGTTTCCATCAAGAGATTGTCACTTGCAGTCTAATGTGTCAATGTATCGTGAGTGTGTTACCTAGTAAAAGGAGGTAATCCTTTTTGCCAAGAGTAAAAAGCACTAGTTCTGAATGTAATTGGATATTGTGAATTTGAAAGGGAAGGAAATTGTTCTGTTATGTGACAGCCAGTGACTCACAGATGTCATCCTCCATGTTGAGATCTGACTGTTGCTTGTTGGGCAAGTTAGAGCAGCTCAATGGAAGGTAGTTTAAGAATAATCGTCCCTTCTACTAAATTTGAACTGTTGAACGTGTGGCACAACAATTTATTGTTTTAACTTGTTCTTGGCATAGCATTCTGGGCCCTAAATAACAATCTTGTCTTCTTTCAGTGTGTAAAAACTCACAATGTATGAGGCATATTCTTTTGTCAGCCTGTGGAACAGACGTTAAATCACAGTACAGTACCATCTGTACTGTAGCACTTAAAGCGTTTCCTGCTATAGAAGAGTAATTTGAAGCTTCAATGGATTATCGTCTTCCTACATGACAGCATCGTATTGAATTGAACAATAAAAAAGTTTAAAAACCTCCCCAAATTCCTTTCCTTATCTATTTTGTGAGGTGGGGAGCATGTGAATCCCTGGCAGTGAGACATTTTAGAGATTGTTTTTTTTTTGTATAGGTCTATAGGGCTGCTAATCAAGTATTGTTATGCAGTAACTGCTTGTTCCAAGAGAATAGAGAGCTACAAGTCTAAGAGCTGATAGTTGTGCTTTATTTTGTTGTAAACGTAGTATCCAGAAAAGCGCTATATAAGTCTAAGCAATTATTATTATTATTATTTCTAGAATAACAAAGATATTGTTATTCTAGATTCTCTTGACTGTGTTGGTGGGCTTTGATGACTGGACTGCAACGAGTTTTGTGCTTAAGTGAAATGGGACAGGATACAGGACCAAAAAGGAGCATTTTGTCCTTCACGTTAAGCCTAAAGATTTCCCCCAGGAGACTATTCTGGTGCAGCAGTGGGATCATCATTTTAGAAGAATGTTTGAAAATGTGGCAGTCATTTTTTGGAGGGATTTCAAGATCTGGTAAATGAAAACAGGCTTTTCTGCCTGTGTTGGTTTGTTTGTGCTGAAATGAATTAGGTGCATTACAATAAAATATCTGCTAAATAATATCATCCCATGCCCCAAAGGAAGATGTGGTCAAAGTTTGATTTCCAAATGGGTCTGCAGTACTTGACATCATTAAATAGAACTGGGAACAAAACACAAGGACGGAATTGTAAATAATGGAAGCTGCACCAGATGGCTTTAGGAAACCCAGGGCATTTATTTAATTGTGGTGTTTGGATAAAGCCTTCTGCTGTTGCATGAGGTTCGAGATTGAATTACAGCTTTTTTGTTGGTTGATGACCACCCATTCCTGAATGCAGAAATCAGTCATCTGAGTCACCGTTCCCCTATTTAAAATCATATCTCTTATTGATCCAAACTTCAGAATGGAAAAAAATCATACAAAAATAAGGAAATTTAAATGTGGAACTGGTGTTCTGTGTTTCTTATAGCTTTACTTTGTTGAAATAAGAAATAAGATGTTTAAATCTGCATCTTAAAATAGTTTGAGGTTACACTAGCAAGCAGGAAAATCCTTTTGACATTTATAGCAGGAGTCGGGCTGATGTTTCTGATATAAGGTCCTTCAGGTGGACAAGACAAATCATGCATTGCTTCATTAATTGGCGAGTGAAGCTTCTGGGATTGCTAAACCGATCATATGGGATGTATCAAGAACAGTTTTGGCTTTATGCACAGTTTGCACACAGTTATTGCATTAAGCTGGCTCATTCAATGTGAAGAAAGTAAGTCGTTTTGAGTCTTAATTCAGAGCAAGTGAACATAGTTTGTCAATAAAACACTGTAGTTAGTGAAGAAAATATATTTGAATATTGTAGTTGCTGCAAGTGTAACCCCATGTGCGAATACTTTGTGTAGAATTGCTTGTGAAAAGTATCTAGATGAGATCATGAGTGAAGTTGCTGTCATGGGTGCATTTCTGTTTCTGGAGGTAATTCAGGGAGCAATTGATTCAAAATGCTGTTCCTAGCCAGGGGAGTTTGGGATTTTCTGCTGCCTGTTTGTAACAGTGTTTGTGGGACTGTTGAATGAATAATGTCGAACGTTAAAGAGCAGCTGCACAGTGGAAGATTAACCTTCATCCTTTATATGAACCCGAGACAAGGAAGCATAATTTCCCTCCAGGAGTGCTTCCAGAGGAACATCTGTAGGTACGTGCTTTACAAATGTGGATAATGAATTAAAAAACATTGTTATAAGGGCTGCTGGCTGCAGTCCCACATCATTTCCTGCCTTTTCCTGTCCTCCCACGGTACTGTAACGTGAGTCTGGGTTAAAAAAAAGGCCATTTCTTGATCACATTTGTAAGGGTCAGAGATTAAGTATCCAGGACGTTTATCTTGGTATGTCAGAGGTGCTGTCTTTTACAGTTTAACACAGTCAAACGGCACAGTCTCTGGTTTCTTTAACCTTCTTTATTTAGGAAATCCTTTAAGAAATGTTGTCTTAAAGTGTTGATGACAGAAGGCGTCATGGCGAGTGGTGGAGCAGGTGATGGTATCAATCTGTAAGAATCCATTATCGAATCCAAGCTTTTTTGTCTTTTCTCAAACTGCCCTTTTTTAACATTGTACTGAAATTGAATGGTTGCAAGATGGAGCACATTAAAAATCTGTTTTCAGCCACTGTGGTGAATCTTCTCGATTGTGCTAGACGAGCTAAGTTTTGC